GAGGAACTTGATGAAATGTATTGGTCAGCCTGAGGTAATGTATTGAATCAATATTTGAGGAACACTTCAATTGGAACGACAGTAAGTATCGATATTATTTTGACGGTATATTCAATATACAAACTGCTAGTTAGCAGAGCTAAGCAGCGGGACAAGTGTTGTTTCGAAATGTATATTAAACATTTCAGACGTGTATTATATTGGGCCACTCCAAATTAGACTTTAGTTTCCCGTCCGGCCTTTATTTCAAATTACACGCGGGCGGGCGGTCCATTTCCATTATCCATTATGGTGTCTCAAAGATGAAACGGGGCCCATTATTTCATGAAATAGATACGTTTTAAATATCCACTCAGCCACGTTTCTACGCAATGTTTTAGTTTTTTGTATGCAGAAATGAAAGCCAGGATATTAGCCTTATCGGTTTTGACGTTAAAAAATCAAAACTTGTAACGGAAGTGTGTAGCTCAGCAGTTCGTAGTGGAAACTGAAAAAAATTCACGCTCTTTGATAAAAGTTTCAAGAATTTTATTTCGATTTTTACGTGTTGTATCATAAATATGTATTTCTTGAACGATAGATTATTTGAAAACTGTGGTTTTTCGTAATTGTTTGTCACAAAAGTCAAATAATGGAAACAAGTTCGCAATAATGGACAAATCATGCGGCCAGTTCTAGGAGACGCGGGCGGAGGACGGGAAACTAAAGCCTAATTTGGAGTGGCCTTGAGAAAATCTTTGAGATTCTATGCGATATATATAAAATTGATGTTCAGTTATGCATTACGGGCATTCAATATGGACCATTTGCATTATAGACTAAATTTTGATCTAGACAAAAATTTCATCACAGCTTGAAAGAGCATCACAAAATTAGTAATATTCCAAAGTTTCGTTGCGAAATGTTTTAAAATGCGGATAATATAGCCTTGCGAAGTTTGCCGTTTTTCAGTCATTTTGTATTAGGGAGCGGTCAGTATTTATGGTGGGGGGTGGCACCGAAGAGAAATGTTTTTCGTGGCAAAAATTTTGCTGACCCAACCATTAAAAAGTCAAAAAATTTGATTACCTAACCTCAAATATCAATTGAAAAATAATTACCCACCCCTGGCCAAAAACGTTACAAAAAGATACCATTCAGTTGTCACACATGTCCTTTACCACTTCTGTGACATGAGTTTCATTTAACGGATTGTGAAATTTTCTGCAGTCTAAAGTTTCATGTTGTCTGCACATGTACTTTCTTTGGAAACACCATTTGTTTTGTCAAAATGATCAAGATAGTGACTCTGATTGATTCACATACATATTGTATTGACAAATGACTGTTGACATTGCTTTACAGTCAACGATATTTTGACAGTGAGTCATGTTTTTGAAATGACAATAAATTTTTATTACCCCACCCTTGAGTTGTTGTGTTTTTCATTTACCCAACCTTTTACTTACTCAAAATTTTGTTTACCCAACCTTTTTCTCTTCGGTGCCACCCCCCACCATAAATAATGACCGGTCCCTTACAAACGGGAAATTGACAGCCCAATCGGGTGTTGGGGCATCAATTTCCCGTTTGTAATACAAAATGACTGAAGATTGCAAATTTCGCAAGGCTATATTACCCGCATTTTACAATATTTCGCAACGAAACTTTGGAATATTACTAATTTTGTGATGCTCTTTCAAGCTGTGATGAATTTTTTTTCTAGATCAAAATTTAGTCTATAATGCAAATGGTCCATTACAGTAAGTGCCGATATTATTTTGACGGTTTACTCATTGACATTGTACAGAGCTAGGAAGCAGCGAGACAGTGTTGTTTTCAAATGTATAAACATTTAAGACATAAATATTGAGAAAAGCTTGGTTTACGTGTCTACTGTCTAGCACAACGCCAACGCCAACGGTGCAAACTCGTGTTCAGTGCAACGAGAACTCTACCAGATCTTACGAGAATCTATCTATATCAAAGCTTGTCAAAACTGCTATAAACACTGCTATAAATGTGAAACTATTGAAATCTAAAGTGACATTATTGAATACATGCGAAAAGCTGAAAATGAGTCATGAACACAACGTGACCTTCGAAATAACTCAAAGGTCCATAGCCGAATTCATATTAGGGACGGAAAACTCGTCTTAAGGCAGATTTCCAGTCCTCGCACGAAGCTCCTCGCAGCTCGCTGCGAGTACTCGCATGAATGTCATTCCGTTTCCACCACACGCCAATCTCGTAGCTCATGGTGTAGGCTAGGTAGTGGCGGGAAGAGTTCAAAGTTCAAAATGGCGCTTAGCAAAAAGCAATTATTGCTTTTGCACGTTGTTATTGCGAAGTCGACGAAAAAGACGTACCGAATATTTAAAACAGTTTTGGGTAAGACCAATATTCCAAACAAGAGCACAATTAAGTGAAATTTTTACACTAGTTAAAGAATTACGGGAGGAAGACCACGAAGGCTACTTCAATTATTTCAGGATGTTACCAAACCAATTTGCCGGATTATTTACACAATTTAGTAAAGCCACTAATTTAGAAGTCCAATAAAAACTATTACAATTTCTATATTTTCATCACTAAAACTGTCTGTACCAGTGTAGGTAGTACCAATGTAGAAATGCTGTGCTGAGTGGTTATATTACTACCTTAAAAAATAAGCAGAAAATAGCCGCCATTTTGAAAACAAATTATCATGTGACTGTAAGACGTTTTATGATTGGTTTATTATTGCGATCTCTCGCAGCGAGTAAAAAATAGATTTTGAACTATTCCCTGCGAGCGGCAAAACACTCGCAGAACGTCTGCGAGTTCTCGCAGCGAGCTGCGAGGAGCTTCGTGCGAGGACTGGAAATCCGCCTTAAGACGGGAAACTCGTCTGTCAAAACCCGTCTGAATAGCCGAATTCATATTAGGGACGGGAGACTCGTCTTAGACGGGAAACTCGTCTGTGAAAACCCGTCTGAATATGAATTTAGGGACGGATAAATTCGAATTTAAGACGAGTTTCCCGTCTAGATGGGATTCCCGTCTAACTTTCCCGTCTGTTTGGACGGGTAAGTTAGACGGGAAAGTTCGGACGGGAAACTCGTCTGCCCCCGGATTCATATTAGACGAGTTTCCCGTCTAAGACGAGTTTCCCGTCTCTAATATGAATTCGGCTATTGAGACTTGTTATTGTGAGCACGTCACAATTAGGTTAAAATGCGGAACGGAGCGGATCCACGGAACGGATATGGAGATAAAATGCGGAACGGAACGGATTTGGATAAAATGCATCATTTTTGATGAGTTTTTTCGCCTCTTTTTTACGTTTCTGTGTTTTAGATTTTTTTTTTTTTTGTAATGGAAAAAAACGTCGTAGTGCTTATTATTCACAACATACATACAGCTATTTAAAGTTGTCACTGAGACAATAATCAAATGTACAATATGGGCGCTAAAAAGATGATGGGAATAATCATAGATTTAAATAAGTTTAGCATATCAGTAGCCTTGTGGGGATACTTATAGCGACAGCTCCCAATGCAAAGGAACTTTTAGAATATACAAAATTTGGTTGTTAGTGAAACAATAAATTGTGTCAGTTCCACGAGGCACGACGTTTCTGATGTGTTAAGCCGGTTTTCCACTTGCGAATTTTTTCGCGCGAAGCGAATTTTTCTTTTGTCTTTATCCAATTAGTTCCAGATGGTTCCAGTTGAGAGACCAAAGACAAATGAAAAGGCTTGTTTCAAACGTCGCGCTACTCGTGTGCCAAACGCATTAAAAACAATAGATAATGAGATGAAATGCCTATGGCAACTGTTTATTTCGTAGTGTAAGCCATCAGCTTTTCTAGGTTGTCGGCGCCCTGATATAGTTCTTGCAGTGTCTTTCAATTTCAAACTTTACAACATTATAACAGAAATTATGCCTTGTCACTATAATATTATATGGGGAAATAAATAATATTACATAACTCTCGTCATTCTTTAATCGTAAAGTATTATATTTAAACCAGATCTTAGCCTTTTACTGTTGTAACAGTTCCCCGCGCTACTACGACATGTGATGAAGGCTATAAACCACGCTTGAAAAGCTATTCAATTAATAAGCATGCCTTATAGCGTTTGTCTTTGAAACTCTGCACTATCCTTGGATCCCTAGTTATACAACCGGCCCCTCGCGTATTTTTTGGACAATTATTATTTGTTGATAAACAAAAAGTACCTTACTTATACAAAACAACATCTAAAGAGTTTAAAATTTTGCACAAAATTTTGCACTTTTCACCGATCACAACATTAGGGCCATTTATACGGGACAAAATAAGACGCGACTTACGTAAGACGCGACTTACGTAAGACGCGACTTAAATAAGACGCGAGTTTGTCGTATAAAAGGTACAAAATTCTTATGTAAGACGCGTCTTGGATAAGACGCGTCTTACATAAGAACAGGACTTTTAGCAGTTTAGCTGTTCTTATTTATGTCACGTCTTAAATAAGAAATTTTGGACAAAAAATCTAACTACACATGCTCGAAACTTGAAACAACGTAAAATTATTAGCCTTGCATTAAAACAAAAACAACCGAAACAACATTATAGCTATAGAAAGTACAAATAAGAATAAATCCGTAGAGAACCATTTATGCGATAACTCCGCTTATATAAGACGCGTCTTATATAAGACGCGACTTATTTTGTCCCGTACCAGGTGATCTTGATACGCGGAAAAGTACTGGCACTAGTTGTCAAATAGAAATCCATTTTATCATTAAAACAACTGAATATCTCCTGTAATATACTTTATTTCGATTCCATATTTTTGTCAGAGCTATAGTTCTCATAACCAAACATAATTACAAAATTTTAACTAGTTTCATAAAGAATAACGAAAGATATAATTGACTGAAACATCAAAATGGATTTCTATTCGGACAACCCTATCTGAGCGCTGATTGGCTAACATACGAACACGAGATCACCTGGTATAAATGGCCCTATTATTGTGTTTGAATTTTCAATGTGTTATAATCAACTACCAAAGATACGCAGAACTGTCTATAATTATCGTCAAGGTGATTTTGCTGGCTTACGAACTTCCCTTGAATGTCTAAATCTGGATTCCCTGATTACAACCGACGACAATATCAACCACGACTGGCAACAATGGAAGAAGGCGTTCCTAGAAGCAGTATCCCAACACATACCATCAGTGAGAGTAAAGGGTCGCAACTATGTACCGTGGATGAATTCTACAATTCTACACAACATCAAGAAGAAAAACTCTCTCCGCCTCAGAATTAAGAAATCCCCTACACCTACTGAATATCTCCTGGAAAAATTCAAAACCCTTCGTAGCTCCATCAAGAGTATGTTACGTAACAGTCGCTCCAAATATTTCGACTCTATTTGTTCCAGCCGTGGACTTAATCCCAAACGCTTCTGGTCCCTGTTCAAGTTCAATAATAAGACACGGAACATTCCTCAAAAGCTCTCGGTGAAAGTAACTGAAACCAAAAGAACATCCGCAGGAAATCCAGCAGATATTGCTGCGCTCTTCAACAACTACTTCACATCTATATTTACTACCGATCCAAATATCGAAAACTACAGCCCTGACGCTCTTCCATATCAGTCTAACAATACTATCATCGAGGACATTACCCTTTCGGAAGCCGATGTTTTCTCCGTATTGCTTAATGTCGACATTAATAAAGCTCAAGGTCCAGATGGGATTCCTGCACGATTATTAAAAGAAACAGCTCGCCAAATTGCTCCATCACTAACCGCCCTGTTTAATAAATCTCTCAACACTGGTGTGTTACCACCCGACTGGAAACTAGCAAATGTTGTTCCCGTCCACAAAAAAGACAACAAAGAGCACGTAGAAAACTATCGACCAATTTCGCTTCTTTCGCTTATCTCGAAAGCATTGGAAAGATGCGTGTTCAATAAGATGAAAGACCACGTTTTCGAATAGATTAACAACGGTCAACATGGCTTTGTTCCTCGGAAGTCCTGTGTTACACAGCTCATTGAAGTCTTTGAGTATATTGGTCGTGAGCTGGATCTTGGGAAACAAGTTGATGTGATCTACTTGGATATGTCCAAGGCGTTTGATCGAGTAAGTCACATGCAACTGTTGAAACGACTTCGTGATTTTGGATTCGGTGGCAATATTCTTAACTGGTTTAGATCTTACCTCAAGGACCGTCGGCAGCAGACTACAGTACTTGGTGCAACATCATCAGCACTACCAGTAACCTCCGGAGTTCCCCAAGGCTCAATCCTTGGACCACTGCTGTTCCTATTATATCAGAATAATCTCCATCAACAACTCGAAGATCGCGACGTTTGCTGACGACACAAAGATTTACAAGGTGATAAACGCGAAGGCTGATGCATCCGCTATGGAGAATGATCTTGCGAATTTTCAAACCTCCTCTGCCAATTCTAATCTTCTCCTCAACACAGATAAATGTAAGACACTTCGAATTACTAGAAAACGCAACAAAATCGATCATACTTACAAGTTGCAAGATTCCGCTCTGAAAACCACAGATTGCGAACGTGACCTTGGCGTCTGGACCTCCACCCTCACATGGTCGAAACAAGTCCTCCACCAGTGCGCCCAAGCCAACAAATCCCTCGGGTATATTCGACGGTTCACGATCAAAATCAAGACCATCTCTGTTCGTCGGACTCTATATCTTACCCTCGTTCGTTCCCACCTCGCATACGCGTCCCACGTTTGGGCTCCACAAACTGTTGACCTCATTAAGCGTACAGAACGCGTTCAACGACGTGCGTCGAAGTACTTATTGAACCTACCGTTCTTCTGTGACATCAACTATAACCATCGTCTCTCAACATTAAATCTACTACCTCTGTGTTACTGGCACGAGTACGGCTAGACATATTGTTCCTTTTCAAATCACACCATGACATTATTAACCTAAGCAGCGACATACTACCACACCCTCAAAATTCAAGTCAACGTACCCAATCTACAAACCCTAACTGCCTACAATTTCAGACTTCAGCATGCAAAACATCTACCTATCAAAAATCATACCTAATAAGGACTACTAGAGTCTGGAACACACTGCCAATGGATTTAACTATTAATAGCATGGCAACTTTAAAGGACTTTAAAAATAAGTTATTAATCTATTATAAAACAGCACTAGATAAATGTTATGACGTTGACGATCCACGAACATGGAAATCGGTTTGCTTAAAATGCAACCAAGCTCGCGACCTGACAAGGCCGATAACGTGTTGTTTTTAGATTTAGTTTTCAGAAGTACCTTTTCACATTGGTATCTATGAGGCCTATTCAGGTTTTGCTGAAGGTTTAGGATTGTGAGGGTTTCAAACGTCCTCTGACTCAGTCAGCTTCCAAAAATGGAAGTGGTTCTGCGGGTCGCAATGTGAAAAGTTGCATCTGATAGTTCGTTAGTAATTGATTCTTTCTATGTACGTATATAGTGTATTTGTCTAACATTTAGGGATCGCAGTAATTGGCGCAAGCTGTTGCGATTGCCCTGCCAGTTTTTTGTGTTAACGTTGTTTAAATCTGGCAAAGTTAATAAATAAATAAATAAAATAAATAAACAAAAGTTACGCAACTGCCGTTTCTATGGCAACAATGACGTTTCAAGATGGCGGATATTTTGGCTTTAAAGTAATTTAACTCGTAAACGACATCGGTGACCCCCAAATTTTATTTAAAAAATTATTTCTTTTAGTATAATCAATTATTTTGAACAATTTAAAAAAAATTCTGTGTAGCCGAAATTTTTTAAATTACGTAAAAGTGATTATTCATAATTTTTTTTTGGCTCCACAGAATTTTTTTAAATTGCCAAAATAATTGATTATACTAAGAGAAATCATTTTCTTAATTAGAATTTGGGGGTCACCGATGTCGTTTACGAGTTAAATTACTTTAAAGCCAAAATATCCGCCATCTTGAAACGTCATTGTTACATAGAAATAATAGATATAGAATGCGTACTTGATCACGAATCATGTCTCCACTTCTTCTCATGCGTGCCCTTATAAATCCGCCATGTTTGAATTTGACTAGGAGTGCAAACTACAAAGTATAAACAAAGCTAAAACTACGTTTTCATCGTCAAAACGTTTATCTTGTTGTCTAATTTGTAGTTTGGGGATAGATTTTGAGTTTTTTGAAGGCACAAACTGTCAAAGCAAATGTGCAGTTACAAAAACGGTGAAAATCGTGCAGCCTTGTAAACAAAGTATTTTCGCCGGTTTCTCGAAATTTACTCATAAAACATTTTTGCATGCTTTGAACGTCACTATACTATCACTGCTTTGCTAATATCTTATAAGATTACAAAATGATAGTTCTTTCTTCGTTGGGTTTCGTTTTTCTTCGATGTAAACGAAGGTTTTTTATTTTTTTGAAACAAAAATATTTAGTTGTCGATAGACTGTAAATTGTCTAAATAATCGTCGAAAACTATGGTTTCAAAAGCGTTGCCTCAAGCTCAAGCAACACAGAAACATATTAAAAGTAATTGTGTAAGTTTAAAAAGATTACTGAACTTCATTTATATTATATTATATTATATTATATTATAAAAAAGTTGAAATATTTATAGAACATACCTATTGAGTTTGAGTTTGTCTTGATCTTTCGGGTTTTGTTTTGGCTTGCACAACAACGTTGAAAATTTATTTTTAAACGATGATTTCTGTATATATTCTGTTCAGAACTGTTGTTTTCCTAAAAAAGCCCACTTTTCACTTTTTTTTTCCCATTTTAAGTCTCGATATAAAAATTTTTGCAAACTTTGCATTTGAAAAAACAATTTATTATATAAACATAAGTGTTATATAGAGTTTTTGGCCACTGAGAAAATTCGTATTTAAACACACGTAAAAAATACGATATTTTTACGTGTGAAAATATCACTTGTTGTAAAACGCATTGCCACGGACGTTTTATTGTTTTTCACTGAACTTTGTTTATATAATAAACAGAAAAATACATGGTGCTTGGAAATACCAGATTTATTTCTCGTGTTGAACATGATATCTCACTCGTTCGCTGCGCTCACTCGTGAGATATCATGTTCAACACTCGAAATAAATCTGGTATTTCCGCGCACCCATGTATTATTCTCTATTTGCACTCTCTGCAACCGCGCGAAATTCCCACTGAAATTCCCTGCCGCCTGGGAGTCTGGGAACCAAAATGCCCTTATAAATCCGCCATTTTGTGGAGACAAATGTTTCACTGAGAAAAGATAGGAGTACGCATTCTATATCTATTATTTCTATGCATTGTTACCATAGGAAAGGCAGTTGCGTAACGTTTATGCAAAAATCCAAACTCTTTAGATGTTGTTTTGTATAAGTAAGGTACTTTTTGTTTATCTACAAGTAATAATTGTCCAAAAATACGTGAATTTTTCATTTTTTTAAAAACTGAATTGAGCCACCTTAAGGTTAAGGTGGACAGAGTGTTATAACTACGTATACAGGCTCTTGTATTTCCAGGTGAGCAAGAAACTCCCAGCATGCCGCACACTATGTGACAAGGTATTTGGCAGTGGTGATGTCTTCATGGAGAAGTTCATCCAGACAGCGAGACATATTGAGGTACAAGTGTTTGGCGATGGCAAAGGCAATGTTGTCCATCTTGGCGAGAGAGAATGCTCAATTCAACGCAGGTACCAAAAGCTTATCGAAGAGTGTCCTTCTCCAGCGCTTACAGAGGAGCAGCGTGACCAAGTGTGCGAGATGGCAGTGCGCCTTTGCAAGTCAGTGAACTACCAATCAGTCGGAACCGTCGAGTTTTTGTTTGATGATGTTCAGAAGCAGTTCTATTTCCTCGAGGTCAACACTCGTCTGCAGGTAGAACACAGAGTAACCGAGCTTCGTTTGGGAATTGATTTAGTAGAGTTGATGATACGACAGGCCTACGAGGGAGTTGATTTAACACAAATGTCAGTTCAACCACAAGGGCATGTGATTGAGTGTCGCATTAATGCTGAGGATCCTTCGAAGAACTTCACGCCAACAGCCGGGGTAGTTACCAAGGTCACGTTATCGGAGGAAAGCGAGGGATCAAAAGGATGTCTGGTAGACACCTGGATACGTCGTGGTAACATAGTAACACCGAACTATGACTCATTGCTGGCGAATATTATCCAATGGGCACCCACTCGAGAACAAGCAATACAAGCGATGCTCAATACATTGAACACTACAATTATCGCTGGCCCTCCAAACAACCTTGGCTATTTCAGGGAATTTCTTAAGACGGATCAGTTTGTCAAAGGAGAAACTTACACAAACAGCCTTGAGTGGTTTACATACAGCCCCGCCTGCGTCGAGGTAATCAGTCCAGGGTTATTTACAACGATACAAGACTGGCCTGGACGACAGGATAGAGGGTTATGGCGTATTGGAGTCCCACCGAGTGGTCCAATGGATCATCTAGCTAGCAGAGTGGCCAATAGTCTTGTGAATAACAAAGAGACGGACGCCGTGTTTGAAATAACGCAATGTGGTCCAACCTTAAAATTTCACCTGGATACAACCGTGGCTATAACTGGAGCTTCGATGGAGGTTGTCCTCGATGGTCTGCTAATCCAAATGTGGCAGAGAGTCCTGGTTAATGCTGGTAGTGTATTAAAAATTGGAAACCTCAGCAATGACCTTGGGTCGCGAACCTATCTTGCTGTTGCAGGTGGGTTAAACCTCCCGAAGTATCTTGGAAGCCGGGCAACGTTTCCCAACGGTAATTTTGGAGGATATCAAGGCAGGGCATTGAAGGCTGGTGACATGATCCCTACTGGAGATCCTGAAAACAAGACAGGGTATGGTATCTCGAACGAAACACTTCACAGGGGCGTTAGTGGGATGGGAAGAAAGGAACTTGTGGATAGCTTAAATCCAGAGAGACCATTTGAAAGTCTGAACAGAGAAACTCTCCGTAACAATGAAGTCACTGACGACGTAGCAATACCAGAAGATGGAGTTAGCAGCAATTCCTTTGTTCCCCATATCCTCCAGAAAAACGACCAACCATTCAACCCTTTGCATATCACTGAACAGTACGGCACAAACTGGTCTATTGGAGTTCTTCCTGGTCCACACGCCAATCCCGAATACTTAACTGATGAAGACATGGACATGTTCTACGCGACACCATGGCGAGTTCATCAGAACTCCAACCGCTTGGGAATTAGGCTATCCGGTCCAGCCCCCAAATGGGCGCGACATAACGGCGGAGAAGGTGGGAGTCATCCATCAAACATCCATGATTGTGAGTACGCAGTTGGTACGATCAATTTCACTGGCAATATGCCGATAATCATAGGTCAGGATGGACCAAGTCTTGGCGGGTTTGTCTGTCCGTGTACCATTGTCCAGTCAGAGCTCTGGAAGATTGGTCAAGTGAAAGCTGGGGATACCATCAGGTTCTGCAAGATGACTATAGAAGAAGCTATCAAATCAAGGCGAGAACAGAACGAGTTTATTAAAACTTTACAATGCTCTCACAAACTACCTGACAACTTTGGCGCAGAATCCTACCCTGAAACGAAGCCAGTGCTACGTGTTATTCCTGAGTTAGACACGCGCCCCCGATTAGAGATTCGCTTGGCTGGAGATTCCTACATCTTAATCGAGTATGGTCCAATGGTTCTGGATCTTAATCTCCGGTTCCGCGTCCATTTTTTGGAGGAAAAACTCCTAAGGAGTAACATCACAGGTTTAGAAGAAACCGCTCCTGGTGTCCGATCCCTTCAGCTGCGCTACAATCCACTGGTTCTTCCGTTGTCGATATTACTCGAGATTGTCACAAAAGCAGATAAAGAGCTGCGAGATATTTCCGACCGTACGGTCCCAACGCGAATTCTGGATTTGCCAATGTGTTTTAACTACAGTGGTGTAAACGAGGCGATCGAGAAATACATCAAATCAGTGCGCGCGCATGCACCATATCTCCCGTCAAATATCGAGTATGTTTTCAAAAATAACGGGTTACGAGGAATCGATGCCGTCAAAGAGAGAGTATTTTCCGCATCGTACATGTGTATCGGCCTGGGAGATGTCTACCTGGGAGCCTGCTGTGCCGTTCCAGTCAACCCCCTACATCGTCTGGTAACCTCAAAGTACAACCCAGCCCGAACGTACACCCAGGAAGGTACAGTAGGTCTAGGGGGGTCCTACATGTGTATCTACCCAATGAATAGTCCAGGTGGCTATCAGCTAATAGGTCGCACCCTTCCGATTTGGGATACGTTTGGAAATAGCAATCCGAAGCTGTTCAGCGAAGGGAAACCGTGGATGTTGCAGATGTTCGATCAGATTCGTTTCTTTCCTGTTTCGGAGACACAGTTGGATGCCATGCGATCGAAGTTTAAGTGTGGAACACTGGACCTTCAGATTGAGGAGCAAGTGTTCAGTATCGCCGAGTACAACAGGTTTGTGATCAATACTTTATATTGTTATTACCAGTGCCCATGTTCCCCCTAACACGAGAGCGGAGCCAGACATTCGTTTGTCAAATCTTGCGTTAATTATATGACATTTTATAGAAATCTTTGATTTGTGAAATCGCCCCCACAATATGTATTCGATTCTTAGATGCTGCCCTAATAGATATTAAGGCCATGTTACACTGCATGTTATCCAAAAAGTATAGTCGCAATTAGGAGACTGTGCGCATGACTCCGCCGACACTTTCTTTACATTGTGTGGTGCCAGTTTCCACATTTCGAAATAGGATTCGAAAGTCATGTTATAGGTGATTTTTGCTTCAAGTGAACTTTGAATATACCTTAACTTCGACAAGTTAATTTTAAGAAAAGGTTTCATGCAGAAGCGTTCCGTAGAATCTATTATATCTCATACACCGTATAAAGATTTGGGTTGCGGCACAGAGTACAGAGGTCCAACGCATGGGACGAGTGCCTCCCGTAAGCCCACAGGCTAGGACCATGGCAACAGCATTGTGATAGGGAATCATGGCGTGGCGGCGGTTACGAGGTTTTGGCTAAGTCGGACCTCTATTTATATAATAACCACAGTGAAACACGCAATTTGATTGGTCAATAGCCGTGCAGGATCAGACTTTATATAATAACTACAGTGAAACACGCAATTTGATTGGTCAACAGCCGTGCAGGATCAGACAATCCTGCACGGGAAATTCTGAACAGAAATTCTTGCACATAATTTTACAAATATACTCGCATTGTAAAGTTTCATTTTTCACCTTTCGACTTTGAAGTAAGTTTGCAATTATTGAGACGTTGGTTTAGTTGTATGAATAAATTTCTGATCGATACATTGCTGTTCAGCAAGTAGCAAGGCGTAGCGTTGAAATTCATCAGACCATGGCAGCCTAGACCTAGGCCTTCTATTTTTATTTATATATTTTTAATATTCAGCGCTTTTTCACATGAAAAGACTGGGACTAGGTAATTTGGGGGCGAGGCGGAGGAAGGACACAAGCCTGACGCAAGCGAAAAAATAGAAGGCCTAGTGGATTTCCCAACAACAAGGCCAAAACTGCCCTGAAACTGCCCTGATTGCGAAATGCCGAATTGTTGCGTTCTCAAACAGAATTATTTGCAACTTAACAGCGAATTTAAACCGATACAGGTAAAATAAACTCATTTATAGTATAAACTTACTATTTTTATTTGTATACACGTCTAGAAAATCGGGTTTTTATCATAAAGTTTGAAACAACACTATTTATATATGTTGACAAGGTGTAGCGAAACGGCACAAAATAATAATTCTTTTATTCGCAAGACAATCTACTGTTTTGCTTTGAATAACTATATTTGCGAATTGGGAATGAGGAATTTGAAATTAGTGTTCAAATATTGCAGATATACCATTTGTATAAACAATGTACGTTTTTATATACAGTACTGTACGGGCTAATAATATATGTATCCGTTTTATTTTGTATGATATTTTACAAACACAAGACTGCTTCTTGCCAAAATTGAGAAAATACATATTAATGTACTTGTGTATAAGACAAAATTTCATGAAAGATTCTACTTTTGGTATATATTTTGACTCATTTTGTTCTTTCGCTACACCTTGTCAACATATTAAATAATAGTGTTGCTTCGAACTTTATGCCGATAAAAAACCGATTTTCAATAAAAAAACGATTTTTCGATACAAATAAAAATAGTAAGTTTATACTATAAATGAGTTACTATATATTTTACCTGTATCGGTTTAAATTCGCCGTTAAGTTGCAAATAATTCTGTTTGAGAACGCAATAATTGGGCATTTCGCAACCAGGGCAGTTTCAGGGCAGTTTTGGCCTTGTTGTTGGGAAATCCACTAGGCCTTCTAGGCTTGCTTCCTCCGCCCCGTCCCCAAATCACCTAGTCCCAGTCTTTTCATGTGAAAAAGCGCTGAATATTAAAAAATATAAATAAGACTAGAAGGCCTAGGTCTAGGCTGAGACCATGGCAAGTACAAGTGTACAACATCTCTCGCTTCAAAGTTCAAACGCTTCGCAATCTTCAAGTATTCAGGTGGAGAATCTTCATAACTACTTTGGCTTTCTGTTTAGCTGGTTTTCCATTTCAAATTTCGTATATTTTATAGAAAGACTCTGTATTTTCGCTGTATATTTTCGCGAATTTGCGATCAAATTCTGTTCAAATTTGTTGTTGTTTTCAATAGCGTGGAGTAGCGACTCTCCGATTGGTTAATTCACGATTGTTGTGAGAACTGCACATTTCATCAGTAATTTTAATCAAGTTAACCGTCGTTTCACTGTAGTAATTTTATAAAACAATTACCAAATGGTTTTCCCGTGCAGGATAGCATGATCCATGCACTTGGATGGTGCTCGACTTTCGGAAAGCGTAAAAATACACTCGCCTACGGCTCGTGTATTTTCACGCTTTCCGAAAGTCTCGCAACATCCCGCGTGCATGGATCACGCAATCCTGCCCGGAAAACCATTCGGTATTCCTTTAATCCTGCACGAGGAATTAAAATGCCTTCGCGGGATTCTCAAAATGTCATTGTTTCACTGTAGTTATTTTATAAAACAATTACCAAATTGTTTCCAAGCAGGATAGCGTGATCCATGCACTTGGGATGTTGCTCGACTTTCGGAAAGCGTAAAAATACACTCGCCTGCGGCTCTCGAGTATTTTTACGCTTTCCAAAAGTCTCGCGACATCCATCGTGCATGGATCACGCAATCCTGCACGGAAAACCATTCCTTTAATCGTGTATAATCTGTGCAGCAACCCTCACCCGCATATATCGTCCCACGATAGTAAAAGTTTTGTACACTTTTTAAAAGAATTTTATCACAAGAATGTTGTTCGAGTATCAAAGTTTTCTCTGTAATAATTTTCACATCTATATTTTGGATGCGAAGTAAGCATGTTTCAGCAAAATTCCTGCAGGGTCCGGTTGTATGCAAGTCGGATAGCATTATCCACCGGATCACTATATAGTGATTTTGCAACCGATGTAAACATTATTAAAAAGTGACAAAACTACGGATATGGACCACGCAATTAGTAAAACGAAACTTTATCCCCGAGCCGACGGCGCGAAGCGCCGTGGGAGGGTACTAATTCCCCCCGGCTATTTACACCCGGGGAAACGAAAGCATTAGCGAAGTCTAAAGTTAATCAATTATCGCGGGCGTGGGTGACCAACGATGGGTGGTCATCCTCACTGATCTCAAAAATATGGCGGACTGTCATGAATAGCGGCCACTGATTGGTCCAATTTAAAGTTTGCATTATAACGACTGCATGACGACAGCGAAATAGCAAACATTTCTTGATTTGATGATTGATAAATTTCTTGCAAATATATTTCATTTTTGCTCGCATTTTTGCAAGATTTTGTAAATTTCAAAAGCTTTCTCATAATGAAAGGTAAAAGAAGGGAGCCGACGTTAACGAAGGTGAATTTGTTTTAAATATTGATTTTATAATGGATTTAAAACCCGACGGCCTTTGCGTAAAACAACTAAACAAAACAGCATATAATTTCAGTGTATCTTTAATATTGATTCCCTTTTTTATTATATTGAATTTTTAAATAAAAAAGAAAGCAAAGTTATTTGCATGCGAGAATTTGAAATCATTTTATTGCAAACTCAAAGTTTATCGATAAAGCCATTTAATTTATAAAGGCAGTTTAGTTTTATATTAAAGAACACTTTAAAACGTTTTGCGAAGCGTTTGAATTTTACCTTAAATCGAAGCTTATATTACGTATAATAACATACCTAACATATATACGTTGGGAAATTGATAATTTTGTAATTAAAAGTGATATTTTTTGGCGATTTTTCATTTGTAAGAATATTCTTAAAAAATTATCGTGTTACCATGACAACTACTTTAGATACTTCATGTTCGGAAAATACAATGGTTTTGTCAGCAAGGCGAGGGTTTCTGCATGCATGTATTTTCTAGTTTTATAAATACCGAAGTTTAATTAATCTAGGTTATAACAATAAAAGGACAATTTTAGAATGCAAGAAAAAAATCACTACCCGGTGGTACAACCGGCCCCAGGGTTGAGGATTTATCCCAGCATGAGCTCGACCTTTGAATTTACTAATGCAATAAATTCGCGACGCATGTTGAACTCTAACCCTAATCAAACCCTGACTCTAACCCTAATCTAATCTTAACCTGACCCTAATCTATATAACCCTAATATAAACTTGACGGTCTTTTTTTAAATTATTATACAACCGGCCCCCGAAGTGCAACCCTAGCTTTGGTCCTTACCGAGTTTTTCTTTTGGTTTTGTGATAGGTTCGTGAATGCAATGTCGGACGAAATTACGAGTTATCGTGCTGCGCAAATAAAAGCGGTCAACACAATGTTAAAAGAGGAAGAGAAAAGCCTAATGTTGCTAGCAACAGATGACGAATGGAACAAAGAGCTAACAACACCCACCCATCAACCTCAGACCATCATCCCAGAAGGATCGGTTGGTATATACTCCCCGGTGACAGGTAGAATATGGGGAATAGCTGTGTCAAAGGGAGAATTGGTGAAGGAACGCCAAATAGTAGCCAGTGTCGAAGCAATGAAGATGGAGTGTTCATGTTATTGCCCTGTTTCAGGAACTGTCACTCGCATTCTTGTAATTGGCAGACAGCTTGTCCACCAGGGAGATTTGATCATGATTATTATTAATGTAATGGAAAGCGGAGAAGATTGTTTAGACTGCTAGGAACTCAGTGTAAAATGCAAGATGAACGATCGCCCTCTAAAATCTTCCTGCCAAGACCAATTGTTAAGGCCTGTTAAAGTACATTCGCATGGCGTATGAACAGAACATACCAAGAGTTTCTTTACTATTATCTAACTATTTTTGTTCTAATTATTAAATTCTTGTCATAGTATAAGGATAAATATTTTTATATAGGATCTTACATTGACTTGTCAATAGACCTTACCGTTTATTCACTTTTCACCTAATGGCCTCGTTTTCGTGTCAAGTACTTACTCATGTTTTGTGCTTAGTAGGGTTGAAAATTACTTTGTTATTGAGCCTAAGAACAGCAAGAAATAAATTCGTCCAGGAAAACATGGGAATATAATCTTTATCTGCCTCTGACATGCTAAAATAAGTTAACATAGAAACGAGGCCATTGGGTAAAAGAGAATAATCGGCAAGGTCTACTAGGTGTATTCTATACTGCGGAACGCTGAAAGTGGAACAAATATTACTTTCTTATAGTAAACCAGCATTAGCGTATTATTACACCTGCTTATTTTTTATTTTTTCAAATTGAGCTAGTAACTTCAATTTTAACGATATTATAATTACTACATTATAAATGAATATCATTGTATTAATAAGGCAGTAAGGGAAGAAGTAACTTTCAAACTTTGGTCTTTGGCCTCTTTGTTACTCTAGTCTAGGACTGGGTGAATAAAATATAAACGTAGTGTTACTCAGTATAAAGTGCTAAATATCTGTAGGATGGATTATGAAGTACACGACAGCACGGCAATAACACAAAACATATTTCAAACTAGTTGGAATTTGTAAAATGTTCTATGCTGTATGCTGTACAAAATAAATACACTAACTAAACGAGGGGTGCAGTTCTGGAACGTTAACAAGGGGGCCTTTGTCCACTACAATACATTGTCTGGAATATTAGAGGGGGGAGTCGGTGACAACGTGATTATAACTTGGGAATTCCAATTCTTGGGAATTTTTATTTCTGCTTGTATAGTAATCCTGTAATTAACATTGAACAGTGTTTGTTTCAAATGAGGAAAAGTTACTATAATTATATCAAAACCGCGGATCCTTCCTCTCGCCCAAAAAAACCGTTCATGTTTTCGTTTCAAAACATTCAGGAACGCGGCTACATCCATAACGTCGTGAAATCAACAATAGCGAGGTTTAGCGAAGACGACGCGACGTCAAAGACGACGTGAAAATGGCGTAAAAATGGCGTGATATGCCCATCTATGGATGTGCCCACGCCATTTTTACGCCATTTTCACGTCGTCTTTCACGTCGCGTCGTCTTTGCTAAACTTCGCTAATATATGATTAGTCTGCGGGAAACACAGGGGGTCCAACTAAGGGAGCGTTTCTTTTGTAAATCTAGATTTCGATTTTTAGGATTCGGATTTTTTGGATTCGTTAAACAAATGGAACGAATAGTGAGAATCGGAATTCGCCTGCCGTTTTCCCGCCAATTTTTCTAACCCACTATACTTTTCGGTCGGGTCAAGGTACATTCTAGAAGGACAAAAGCTCAAAAGGAACGTTGAATCCTAATCAAGTTTCAGATTGAATCCGAAAAATCCATATATTGAGGTGGATTCATCAGATTCGAATTTATTTTAAGATTTTGTTAAATGAAACTGAAAATCGATAATCGGATTTGAAGATCCAAATCCGGATTGCACTAAAGGAACGCGCCCTAAGAGCTGTGTTATGAATATGAATAAAACATATTAATTAAACGTAATATGAATAAAACATCATAACGTAATATATTTAAATTATTGCACGTACTTGTATAAATCATAAGAGCTTGTATTTGCAGTGAATAGCTTCAAACAGGGCGCTTATATATGCTCAGAAACATTGCTTGAAATGATTGTTCAAATATGGCGAATAAATTGACAAAACGAAAATATTACATGACGTTCCAACGAAAATAACAGCAAGGATTGCGGGCGCGCGAGCGAAAAGGCGAGGGAAGAAATAAATAGAAGGGATGAAACAAATATCACGTGACTTTTTAAAATGCTTCTAGACTATCCGTTTAAGCTTTTTGTGGTATTTTTAGGGTTGTTCTCTTACATGAACAAGCCTAGTCATTACCAAAAAAAGCACTGATCAATCTAATTTATGTGATTTATAACAGGGAGCATTCTTGGCCATTTTCGCGAGATGTGCTCCATAAGTAGTCTAGTCTCGTGACGTAATGACTAAATAATAATAAAACTAAATAATAATAAAACTAAATAATGTAAAAAAAACGTTGGTAGCTACATTTAAATATTTCATATTAGCCGGTATAGCTAAACATTGTTTACTTTCATTAATTAAGCGCGTGGGCGTTGTTGGAGTTGGCAGGAGGCGTTTTGGAATTTTCCGAAAGACCAGGCTACTTATGGAACACATCACGATCGCATTACCGGTGTTTCATCCCTTCTATTAATAGAGAGTTTAAGATACCCCGGTTTACGGGTACGAGTAGCGCCATTTTCTTTACCAATTTTTGCTGATGTCAGCATTTTTACCCGTAATTTCTACCCGTTTCCCCGGGGTAAACCATGGTCTACACGTAAAAGACAAACTGGTACGGGTGATTTCTGTTTACTATTTGTGGGCCGTTTAAATAGTAAAAAGTTTCAACATCTTACCCAAAAAATAATGAACATATGCTCGTCAAAGTTTTCAACAATCTATGGCGAACTTCAACAGCGAAAGTTACCATTCTCTGATAGGCTTTCTCACGCCGGAAAATCTTGGATTTCTTAAGTTACAAGTCGTTCCCCGGCTTACGGGTACGTGTATATCACCGGTACCCGTAAACCGGAAACGGGTATCTTAACCTCTCTAATATCTATTACCCTCGCCTTCCGCTCACGCCCGCAATCCCTGCTGTTATTTTCGTTGGAACGTCAAGTAATATTTTCGCTTTGTCAATTTATTCGCCATATTTGAACAATCGTTTGAAGCAATCGGTTTCTGAGGCTGAGCATATATAAGCGCCCTGTTTGAAGCTATTCACTGCAAATACAAGCTCTTATGATTTATACAAGTGCAATAATTTAAATATATTACGTTATGATGTTTTATTCATATTTCGTTTACTTAATATGTTTTATTCATATTCATAACACAGCTCTTAGTTGGACCCCCTGTACGGGAAATTGTTAAAAAATTAGCTATTAATAATTTTACATTTTAGTAGTAAATAGGCATAGAAATGCAGTCGCATTCCTGAATTATTTACCCCCCTTTAGAACAAAACCCACCATTGAAATCCTCACAAAATAACCTTTCGAACGGGGGGTCAAGTGCCGTCAAAACATTACACAAACCGAAACAATCATAGTTTATACTCAACGCTTGGCCAAACATTCTGTATTGGATATCGAGAAAAAACTTTTTGTCATTTTCTATAAAAGGCTCAACAACCACAGCTCTATTAGATATCACTAATAGATGGTACCAAAACATGGACGTAGGACAATTAAATGGAGTTGTATTTTTAGATTTAAAAAAGGCCTTTGGCTTTGATACTGTTGACCACGACATTCTTCTAAAAAAATTAAAAATTTATGGCATAAAAGGCATGGCACTCTGTTGGTTGCGATCATATCTATCATGCAGACCGAATCCAATATAGTCAAGTAAATGGTCACCTGTCAGACCCCCTAACCGTGAAGACCGGAATACCACAAGGTTCGGGATTAGGCCCATTATTGTTTTTGATCTATATTAATGATTTTCCAAAATGTTTAAGACACACTAGACCAGATATGTTTGCCGATGACAATGTGATCTTAGAGAATCTTAACACAGATTTAATAAATGTTTCGACTTGGATGTCAGCTAATAAATTAACTTTGAACAATAAAAAAACAGAATTCATGGTTATAGGTAGCAATAAGAGACTTGGCCAAATAGTCCAAGATTCAAGAACCCTCAATTTGTGTGAGAGGCACAGAGATTAAAAAGGTTAATGCGACCAAGTCGCTTGGCCTAATGATTGATGATACTTTATGCTGGTCAGCCCAAGTTGAAAAAATTACAAAAAAAGTTAACTCAGGACTCAGCATTATTAGAAGACTGCGGGATATTGTTGATTATTAATAACTTACTGACCGAGAGTGAGGGCAGTACGGGAAAATATCCAACCTCGGTCTTGCTGTATTGACCGAGCGATAGCGAGGTCAATACAGCAAGACCGAGGTTGGATATTTTCCCGTACTGCCCGAACGGTTGAGGTCAGTAAGTTTTTTTATTATATTGGCATTGTACGTTTGTAGAAAAATGGAAGAAAACGTCACGCCAGGGCAAAGTACAAGGTCCGAAACAGTTTGCAACAAAAAAAAAAAAATTGTAAAAAAATGTTCTCTTGGTTAGTAAAACTACTCTACAGTACTTTTTATATAGAATACTAACACATTTTGGATAGTATTTCAAGAAAAATACGAGGTATTTCGTCATTTAATCAAAGACAACAAATATGAAAACAATAAAATTCAATAAAATTACAAAAACAAGAACGTTTTTAGTTCGCTTCATCTCATATTTATGTCTCTTTTTATCTAACAAAAACAGCAATTTTCAGGGAAAAATTATAAATCTGTGGCTGCTTTAGTCGCGTATTTTTTATTTACGTGTCAAATTCCTCCTGGCTATCTGCAAATAAAATTTGCAGCTCTTCACATAGTCAAAACACAACTATTCCTGACTGCTTTTATAGTTATAAACATTGTAAAATTTACCTTGTAATTTTGACTTTCGCTAACAAAAACGTATGGAGAAAGTTCTTTAACCACAGCAGTTGCTCCTCTTTTTTATTTTAGGTTTATTTTTCTTCGTTTTGAATAGTTTTGAAAGACTTTTAGACATTTTTTGCTGTTTGAAACTCGGCTCTCGTCGCAGGGCAACAAAATTTGCGTATTGCCCGTGGGCAATACGGGAAAATCCTGCCTCGTCAGCAGCCAATCAAAATTGCGCGATTCATCAGAAAAAATGCTTGCCATATAATAAAATACTTTGTTATATAGCTAGTGTGAACACCAAACGTGATTGGCTGATTTGTAGTCACGTGGCTTTAGATAAATGCAATGTATCCCGCCCGGGCAATAAGTGAAAAATTGTTGCCCGCCCCGACCGGCTACGTATATAAATAAACAAAATGGCGGCACAAATTTATGCTATTTAAACTACTGTTTTCGTGGCTTTGTGTTAAAATAAAGAATGTAAAAGAGAAGAAAAATACATAACAGGCAACAGGATATGCTGCTGAAACCATTTAAGTAGGTTTTTTAAATTTTAAACTCGTTTACGCTATAGAGTTTTTGTCATGAAATACAAGTATTGTTGTATGAATGTTGTTGAATGTTGATATTTGTTTCGTCGCTATATAGCAAAACACTTAACGTCTTTTCCGACAAAAGACTTAACGTCTTTTCCATTGAGATTCTCGGGAAAACAAAACTAACTATTTCCCTCGGGTGCAGACATTAAGTGTATATTAATAACTGTTTATAAATCAATAATCCAACCACACTTTGATTATTGCTCGCAAGTTTGGGGTTGCCTAGGAAAGGTTTTATCAGATAAACTTCAGCGTCTCCAAAATAGAGCGTTTCGTATTATTACCCGTGAAGGATATGAAACGCGATCAAAAGATATTCTAATCAAGGCAGGATTTTCAGATCTGCAAACAAGAAGGGAACAACAACTTGCTACATTAATGTATAAGATTAAACATAAAATGGTTCCAAACTACCTGCAGGATATTTTCATCAATACACAAAAAGTCCATAATCATAACACTAGGCATTGTAACACTAGCCAATGCCAAATACTAATGCTATGAAAAAATCATTGGCCTACAGAGGTGCGGAGACTTGGAATGCTCTCCCAATTGACCTGAAGTCGCTAGGAAGTGTAGCAACTTTTAAGAGTGGGGTAAAACAATGTAGATTGATATAATGTTAAGTTATAAAATTCTTTTATATTTATAGTAGTTAGCACACGGCCTATTGGAAGATCACTTTTTTCTGGTTGTTTTTGTAAATAATATATTTTAATATACTGTGAAATAGTACCGTATTTAAATAAAGTTGAAGTTGAACCTGAAAATCACGAACCTGAAAATCAAGAACCGAAAAATCACGAACCGAAAAATGTAAAAGTGAAAAACGTATTTTAGGTGTCGCGTCTTGGCTTCCGTACTCTGCTCTTCGGAAAATAAAATGGAAAAATGGAAAAGTGTAAAAATCGAAAAATGCAAAAATCGAAAAATCAAAAAAATCGAAAGGTGTAAAAATCGAAAAATGCAAAAATGGAAAAAGTCGAAAAAATCCGAAAAATGCAAAAATCGAAAAAAATATCGAAAAATGCAAAAATCGAAAAAAATATCGAAAAATGAAAAAATCGAAAAGTGTAAAAATCGAAAAATGCAAAAATCGAAAAATGCAAAAATCGAAAAAAATATCGAAAAATGAAAAAAATCGAAAAGTGTCAAAATCGAAAAATGCAAAAATCGAAAAATCGAAAAAAATATCGAAAAATGAAAAAATCGAAAAGTGTAAAAATCGAAAAATCGAAAAATGCAAAAATCGAAAAAAATATCGAAAAATGAAAAAATCGAAAAATGAAAAAAATCAAAAAAAAAATCGAAAAGTGTAAAAATCGAAAAGTGTAAAAATCGAAAAATGCAAAAATCGAAAAAAATATCGAAAAATGAAAAAATCGAAAAGTGTAAAAATCGAAAAATCCGAAAAATGCAAAAATCGAAAAAATATCGAAAAATGCAAAAATCGAAAAATGCAAAATCGAAAAAAAATATCGAAAAATGAAAAAAAAACGAAAAATGCAAAAATCGAAAAAAATATCGAAAAAAGAAAAAATCGAAAAGTGTAAAAATCGAAAAAAATATCGAAAAATGAAAAAATCGAAAAGTGTAAAAATCGAAAAATCGATCGAGCAGCATCCCCCAAATTACCCTCTGCGCCCACGCGACATAACGAACAAGCAGTATCCCCCAAATTACCCTCCGAGGCCATGGTTACCCCAACTCTGGCCAACACACCCACCATTTCCGCGTCGTATGTAGCTCGTGATAACAATTTCCCGCTCCTTACCCTACTAGTAGGTGGCCAATGTCCGTTCTATAATTAATAAAATAGACGAACTAAAATTAACCAAGTTGAGGTCAGATGTATCACTGAATCTTTGCTTAACACCTCTGTTGTGGACTCAATGATCTCGTTATCGAACTTCATCCAATTCAGAAATGATCGCACATACTCCTGCAGTGGCGGCGTTTGCATTTATATTAAAGAAGAAATTTACTGTAGGAGGCTCGAGCATTTCGAGGATCCAGCCATTGAATCCCTATGGTTACTACTTAGACCTAAGCGTTTACCAAGATCTATATCCGCTGTTCTACTTGCAGTCATTTATCACACCACCTCCTCCGGCGCCAACGAGAACTTTGAACTGTACACAACCATATCCAGCGTAATGTTGAATCCTTCCTTCCTCTGCATCCGGATGGTCTCGTTTTTGTGACTGGGGATTTTAACCCTGTCAGTACATTATTTGATGAAAAACGGTTGAAAAGATTGTCCGGCTTAACTCAAATTATTAAAGTCCCAACACGTCATAACGCAATCTTGGATTGGTGTCTCACAAATGCCAAGAAAGTCGTTTTTGATGTAAGCCAGCTTCCTCCTATTGGCTCGAGCGACCATAATGCCATTTTAATAAAACCCCATAAAGATCGTCTGGAGAAGTATGTAAAAGGGATTTAAGAGATAGGATAGCAGTATAAGACATTTTGGTCAGACTATTACATCTACCGATTGGACGGAGATATTCGAAATTCCTGATCCTAACTTGAAGTACCGGAGATTTAATGAGGTAGTTTCTGCAATGATGGATTGTTTTTCCCAAATAAACCAACTAGTGTTAGGGAATCTGATAAACCATGGATGACGTCATCGCTTAAGTTCTCCATTAGTAAGCGGCAAAAATCACTTCATAAGTACGGAAGAAATTCACAAGCATATAGATTTTGGCGCAATAAAGTTCAACGGGATGTTAATTTAAATTAAAGTGGCACGTAGAAAGTACTATGCAAATTCCGTGCAGAAGTTGAAAAGTGCAAACCCTTCCAGATGGTGGAAAGAGGTTAAATCCACAGGGGGCCTCTCTTCTCGGGAATCTTGGGTACATCATTTACTTTCTGAAGTAAAGCCCACTTGTGAGGACCTTGCTGAGTCATATAACGGATATCTTGTTGGACTTACTTCGCATATTAAACCCTTGCTAGAATGCACCAATGACCGGGAGACAGAAGTTCCCAATCATCTACTCGTAAATATAGGGCAAGTTTATTCAGTGTTGCGACGTCTTAAACGACGAAGTCTCCTGGCCCAGACGGTATCCCAAATAGGATTCTGAAAACCTTTGCTTTTGAATTTGCCCCTGTCATAATGGACATTTACAATACATCAGTGCTTCAGGGAGTCTTCCCTGATAAGCTAAAACGTTCTATCGTCGTTCCCATTCCAAAAGTGTCACCACCTCAGACTATTGAGGATGATTTAAGACCTATATCACTCGCAGTTCAGGTATCTAAAGTGATGGAAGGATTTATGCTACAGTCCCTCATGTCGGAAGTGGGTCATAAATTGGACCCAAAGCAATTTGCTCTTCCGGGAAAGTCAACCACTCAGACACTCGTTTATCTCCTCCACGTGATTCATGCTGCTTTAGATCAAGGCCACTGCTCTGTAAGAATCTTTTTTGCTGATTTCAAAAAAGGTTTTGATCTCGTACACCATAATGTCATTATTGATGAACTTTTAAAATTACAAGCGAGTCCTGTCATTGTAAGATGGATAAAGTCGTTCCTTACCCCCCGCGAACAGTGTGTAAAAATCGGATCATCCACTTCCTCATGGAAACCCGTTAACGGTGGCCTACCTCAAGGAACTAAACTTGGGCCTCTTCTCTTTGCCATTTTAGTCAATTCCCTCCTACAGGACTGGAATGGGCGGATAATGTTTGTAGACGATGCTACTGCACTAGAAATTGTTCCACGTTGTTCTCCTAGCTTGCTACCTATCCTCGTAAATGATGTATCTCAGTATGCCTCAAGTAGAGGAATGAAGCTTAACAGTAAGGAATGTAAGGAGATGATAATATCCTTCCTCCAATACCACCTTCCACTTGATAATGCGATCTATATAGATGGTTCGCCAGTGCAATCAGTATTCTCCTTTAGTTAATAACTGTTATTTGAGTACGATCAGAAAGATCTAGTTTCTAGAAAGATCAATCGTTTCTTTGTTGAAACCGTAACAAGTTAACTTCTTTAGTAAAATGTTATGATCAATGGTATCAAAAGCCTTTTTTAAATCAACGAATAAGACAGCATTTATTATACCCACTGTCCATGTTAGTATGCCATTTATCAGTGACATCAAGCATAGCTGTTAACGTTGAGTGAAGAGGTCTAAATTCTGACTGTATGTCAGATAAAAGGTTGTTTTTGTTTAAAAAGGCATATGCTTGGTCAAAGACAACTTTTTCAAAAAATTTTGAAACTACTGGAAGGACTGAAATAGGCCTATAATTATTCAAATCTAGTTTTGAATCATGTTTATAAATTGCTGATACCCTGGCACACTTCCGTGTCAGCGGGAATAATTTCCTTGCGAATTACTACATTAATAATGTGAGTAAGTGAAACCACAGTAGTGAAATTAATTAGTTTTAATAAACGAACAGGAATGTTATCAAGACCGCTAGCCTTAGAAGTCGATAATTTATAAATTAGTCCACCTATTTGAGATGGAGTAACTTCATGTAATTCAAAAACTTCATTACATTGTGGAATGTTATAAGAGGCCGCACCAGTTGCTGGAATTTGCGCTGCTAATTTAGGTCCGATTTCAGTGAAGTGCTTATTAAAAACATTGCTAATAGTTACTGGGTCAGTAATTTCGATTTCATCTTGCAAGATTTTTGGTATAGTAGTTAAATTTTTAGATTTTGAAAGAAGACTGTTGATACCATTCCAAGATTCTTTAGTTCGACCTACGTTGAGTTGAAACAAAGAATTATAATATTGCTTTTTACTATCTTTAATTTTATAGTTAACTACTAAATTTTTAGCTGTTTTAAAATTGACCCAATCATTTTCATCATTAGTATAAACTGTTTTACGCTTTAATCGATCTCGTTCCCATATTAATTTCTTGATTTCTACAGAGAGCCATGGGGCACAATTTTTCCTTATTCTTCTTTGTTTGACTGGAGCATGCTTATCAGCAACATCAAGAAATAGTTTTTTCCAAATTTGCCAAGCATTTATAGGATCATCCAAGGAAACTATGTACTGCCAAGGAATAGCATCAATGTCATGCTTGAATGAAGTTTGATCAAAATTTTTATAACACCTGTGGGATTTGATAGTTATAGGCTTCTAGCAATTACCAACATCTCTCCCAGCAATTGAACTCGGTGATTCATCATTTGTATGGTTATTGTTATCAACTACAATGGGCGGATCTTCTTGTTTAAAGCGAGCTTCATGGGCTTGATGAAAATCCGTATATAAGATCTTCAACGTAGTAGTTAAGTGAGAGTTAAAGCCCGAGTACCGAGGCTGTTAGCCAGATACAGCCTGAGGGAGAAGCCCTCAGGCTGTATCTGGCTAACAGCCGAGATTCGAGGGCTTTAACTGACTTATTTCATGATTGTTGTTCAGTGTAATTTGTGAAGGTAAATTCTGGGAGGTATGCGGACTTATTGTTGAACTAAATTAGCGAACAGATAGGTACAAAAAGAGATGAAGATCTCAAAGGAACTTTACGCTAGTTATACGCTAGTTAATTTATTCTTATTTTGTTCTTCTACATATTTTTGTAAAATTTTCTGGCCTCACTTTGACGAATTGTTTGCATTCGCACTTCACAAAATGGATAGTGACGAGCAAGACTTTTCACTGTCAGGATTAACCCAAAATACATTTTTAGAGGATCCTGTTATTTTGGATGACGAATTAAGTATAATTTCAAGTATTTTAGCGACTGAAAATCTTGATTTTGGTAACAGCGAGTCTACAAGTGCAAATACTAGTCATGCCGAGTCAACAAATGCAAGAAATATATCACTTATTAGCGACGAAGAGTTACAGAAAATAAAGGAAACTCGAATCCCGTTAAACACGAAGCATAATACAGCATGGGCAGTTCGTGTGTGGAAAGAGTGGGCGGACGAAAGGAATAGTAAAGCACCAGCCAACGAGAAAGTCGAGCCGGATATTTGTAAAGTCAGTGATGTAGAACTTATGCATTGGTTAGCGAAATTTGTTGTCGAAGTTCGGAAGAAAGCAACCAAACGGGAATGCTATCCGCCTAATACGCTGTATCAGTTGTGTTGTGCTTTGCTACGATATCTAAGAAATAATGGTCGTCCAGCTTTAAATTTCTTCGAAGACCCTAATTTTAAACATTTTCAGGACTCGATTGATGCAGAAATGAAGCGCCTAACAGGGCAGGGTGTTGGTGCAAACGTCAAACAAGCTCAAGCCTTTTCTGAAGCTGATGAGGATAAACTCTGGACTTCTAAGCTCCTAGACGATCATACAGCAAGTGTGTTATTAAACACAAAGGTGTTTCTAATAGGAAAAAACTTTGCACTTCGAAGTGGTAGAGAGCGCCGTCTTCTAAAATTCAGTCAGTTGACACTGGAGCCGGCATGTGGCACGGAACCTGAGAAATTGGTGTACGTTTCTTTCGGGGAGAAAAACAATTTAGGAGGATTAAAGCAAAGCAATATGAAGCGAAAGCGCGTGGAACATTCATATAAATGAAGAGTGTCCCAGTCGATGTTTGGTTCGATTGTACAAGAAATATGAGGGGAAATGCAGCTCAGAAGCCATAGCGAAAGACATATTTTATTTGAGTCCTCGCCGAAAGTATTCTGATTCAGATAAAGGTACAAACAAGTTATTTAGTTAGTTTTATCGTTTATTGTAGTTAATTTCCATTTTTAGCTTCAGCTGAATTTTCTGTGTTTTAGTTTGGTTCACTTCAAATCCAGTGGGCTACAACACACTTGGAGGGGTAGTTAAGTAGCTTTGTCGGGATGCTGGAATAGAAGGCAACTTTACAAATCACAGTCTTAGAGCAACAATGGCAACTCGTGGTCTCTTAAAGGGAATTCCAGATAAGTTAATTATGGAAAAAACAGGTCATAGAGACGTAAGGTCGTTACAGCAGTATCAGAGACCTAGCATAGAGTACAAAGTAGAAATGTCAAAAGCGTTTGATCAAGTTGGTATGATGCACACGTCTTTGGCGACAACCAGTACAACTAATAGCGAGTGTCGGGAAGTCCGTGAA